TTTTATAAAAACAGTCAGCTCTGATTGATGAAATCAGTATACATGATAGGAGAGTAGCAATTTAATCACCAAAGACAAGAAATTATTTATTTTGATAAGGTAAGACTATTTTCTTTCAAAGCTAACAGGTAGTTTATTATGACTGGTTAAATTGTTTTATGCTCATGTAATCACCTTATCATAATATTAGTGTATGTGAACCCAAACAAGACTGAAAACACGAAAGCTTTGACCTTATCAACATTGTTTTCCTCTCCTATTGTTTGATAACCTCAGTGTTGTATGTCTAACAGATGTAATTTTTACGAGATTTCTATGCAGAAATTTTGAATTTTCAAAGCCATGCTTTGATTGGGGATTAAAGAAAGCATTGAAAATTAGTATTTCCTGAGAAATACTGATTCTGAGTTTTGAAAAAGTCTAGCAAACTTGAAAGTCACTGAGTTTTTAGCTCAAGGATTAGTTCATCTGTTTCTCTCAGGAGAAGACTCAACAAAACTGCAATAACATGTGGTCTATACCCTACCTTCTCTGTTAGAAATGTATCTATAATTGAAATCTCACAAGATCGTTCAGTTTTTCCTTTTACGCATTGTTAGTTGGTCCTACAGAGCCATCCATCGAGTCCTCTGCTCAGGTCTAGAGGTCTTTTATCCAAGCGTTGCAAGAGGATTCAAGTTCTGGGACAATAAATCTAAACTAAAAAATGCTACTTTTTTGAATTGAGTGCTATCCATCTCTCTTTCTTAAATCCACTCTGCCCAGCTTTAAAATTTTGTACTGGATTTGTATGATTACGTTGCTGTGGATGGATTCACTCTCCTAGAGCAGAGACAAATTGAATATATGCTTGCCTACTATGAGGCAGCCATACTCTTATGTTTTTTTTTAATCAATGTTCATCCTCCTTCTATGTTTCTTTTATGGGCAAATGTTAGAGAAGAAAGGAATGTTAGGAAGATCTTAATTGCTAGAAGCACTTACTAGACCCTCCTTTTCGAGTCATATAAGTGACCACAGTACATGTAGAAGCCAGCCTCATCTGCTGCACACTGTCTGCTTTTATGTCTTTGGGAACTATTTCTGCCTGAAGAATGTGTTCCAAGAGTGCATTTCCAGAGGCCCTTATCCTACAGAACTGGGTACAGCTTTCTACCCCAGCCCTTTTCAGAGAAAAACACAAAACAGATTTGACAAAACTAGTCCTGGAGAATTTAATGAGTTTGCAATCTCTCCATGTTGAATAAAAATGAAAATTAAAAAATCAATGGAATGCTTCGTCACTTCAAATAAAAATGACATTTCTTCCCTATAGCCTCAACTTTGCTTTTAAGCCAAAAGTTCTAATATGCTCGAATACACAAATAATATTTTATGCCAGGTCAAATGAAATATTTAATCTGATCCAAGACTTTTTTTTTACTTTTTGATTTGCCAAATCTTTGTGGGTCAACTCAAATTGTTTTATTTATTTTCTTGAATCGACAGCAAACAAACAGAAGTGAACCAGTTACTCACATAGCTTTAGTTGAAAATGATCTTAAAATATAGAGAGCTTGGTCATGAGAGCAACTGACCTCCAGTTCCAGATATATTCCTTCTTGGCTATCTTCCCCAAAAGATTTGATTTTGCCTTCCCATCCTAAATTTTACTTCCCTTGTGTTTATTATTTGATAAAGTGCCAGCAAATGTACTTGTAGGAGATCAGCAATACACGAAAGATTATTTTCTTGCTGTGTTAGTTGTAGGAGATCAGCAATACACAAAAGATTATTTTCTTGCTGTGTTAGTTGGATTCTTAAGCTGTTTGTGGCTTTTTTGATGTTCAAGTAGATTTTATTCCACGGTCTGTCTGGGATATACCACTGCTACAACTTGAATGTCACAAGTTGTGTACACAGACAAGGCTAAAGCATAATTATCATTGTAGATATAAGCAGTTTTATCTGATGCTCTCCCACTGATTAGGCTTCTTATTTCTGGATAAAAATCTAACCAAATTAATTACTAATCCAACAATCCAACATTGCTGTATGTAACATGCACTTAACTTATCTGCAGGACTTCATTTTAAGCATAAAACTCAAATCTTAAACACGTTCCCTCGACAGCCCCCTGATAAGTCGAAGATGCTGAGACCACAGTAGTACTTGTGCAGATGCCAGAACTGAAGCCCTGGCTGGGTATGGCGTGATGCAGCGGGCCAGGTCTGTGTCGGCTCTGGGAGCAGAGCTCAGGCATTTCTGCCATCCAGAAGAGTCCATTAACCTCTGCTGACGCTCAGAAGCCCTCAGCTAATACTACTTTCCTAAACAATGGTTTACTTTGAGCTATCACACACCGTTGTATTTTTCTGAGAGAATATTTAGGACACAGTGATTAGGAGGGATGATTTCTGCTGCCTTGTAAGGCAAGGCTGGGGGAGATAAATCGAATTGACTGATTGCAGAACAACAATCTTCTCTGCTCCTCTGGCCTTTCTGAGAAGGAGGGAAAGGTTTGCTCACCTCTTCTACACTTTGCTCTTTAACCTCTCTATGTAATTTCGAATAGCTGCAATATGTCAAAAGCCACAGGTGCCAGCGCAAGCAGTAGCTCAGGTATTAAATTGAAGGAACACTACGTTAGCTTTTTAGCCAATTAACATGGCTGTAGGGGGGACCATCTGGAATAAATCTGCGAAGCAAACAGTTCACAGAAACCCAGCAGGCAGCTCTACAGACTGTTGTATTTGTATGGTACTTCATTAGAAAATAAACATAAATCTTCCGTCTCAAGTACGAAGCAAAACAGTATTAAACCAGATCTTTGATAGTTAATACAATTGTCTCTACTAAACGACACATTTGTAAGAGTTATGTGAATCACTGCGAGGAAAAGGTTGCAAAAACTCTAGTGACTGCAGTTATGGGTTGGCACAGCCAAAACAACTGTTCTTGACTTGACATAGAGATGTATTTTTCTCTCGTTTCGTCATTGCAAAAGCCTGCTTTGATAACATTGCTAATATCAGCTAATGATTCAGTATGCAGAGAAGGAGGAAATCACGCATCAGCAAACTAGAATAAACCAGTCAGCTTTAGCCTGTTTCTGGAACTTCGTACTTTGCTGTGTTTGTATTTTTCTCCATTAGCGACCCACAGCAGGAGCCGTGAAATTCATCATCACTAAATGTATCCCTGCCAAGGGTTTGCTGAACACACCAGGCTATAGCATGGAAATGTTGTACCAGGCTAGTACTGATGCTTCAAAGATTAACCATCCACCCTCTTCCTCCTTAAGGTCATTTCTGTGTTCAGAGGATGCCATGGGATGTACAGACAGAACTGTGAAGATGGACAGAGTCCATCTTTGAAGCCACTGCAGCAGAAAGCTCTGTGGTTTCCCACAGCAGACTCCGAGCAGCTCCACTCTGCCAATGGACACCTCTACATGGACTGGTATATCAGCTAGTGGAGCTCACTGCACCTCCACCCGCTGCTGGGAGTGAACCCAGGACTCCTCAGAGGTTTCCCTTGTTCAAGCTCCTAGGAGAGCCACGGCAAAGCATATGGAACGTGTTTATCAGACAGCTGAGGAATCAGTGGCGGTAAGTGTACTAACACGATCGACAAATGTGTAGCTCATATGCGTATTTTATGTCAGAACAAATGGCATTTCTATAGATAATTTGCATAAGTATACAGGGAAACAGATTACTTGTCACAAAAGCACCTGCTATTAGAAATAAGAGTATTTTCAGGCTAATCAAATTTTCCTGTTTTTTATATCAGAAAATCTTAGCAATTAACGTAGTAATTGTAATAATACAACTAGCTGGAGAACATTCAAACAAACTTCCATTTGCAAAGTGTTGTTCAGATATGTAAATAATGAGACTAGGTATGAGCGTAGGATTAAATCTGATGACTTTTAGCTGGTTTAACACCACCTGATCTTTTCGTCAGAAAAAGTGCTAAAATGGCTAGGAAGTAAAACACCACCTTTAGCACTGCTCTCCCTAATTAGCCCTGCTAAGAAACCATCAGACAGAGCAGAGCACCACACATCTGCACCTAGCCAGCTCTGGACGTTTAGTTCAGGTATCTCGATGCAGTGGCACATTGCGCTGTAGAGACATAGCATACACCATAATTATGCTTATTGGCCTGCTCATGCCATAATTAATTAGGGAGCTGTTCTGAAGACCAGGGCTTTCGGATACATACAGTGATGACAATTAAAATGTTAGCATTTGTCAACAATTACTTCACCCCAGGCACTACCTAACGAGCCACAGTCTGCTGTATACATGGAACTGAAATAACCATGGTAACTCTGGGTATATAGTGACATTTTAATGATCACTGCTGCCTATCCTCAGGCCATCACTTGCAGCACTAAATGGCCCATCAAGAAGCAGACGAATAAAGCCGCATCCATACAATGCATGAAAAATGCTAAGCACTTGTAGGGATTAAAGCCATTTATATCTACCTTAGAAGGGAAAAAGGAGTGATAAACATAATACAAAAGCATGTATTATGAAGAAATAATGAAGCTACCACATCCTACTGCAGCAACTGCCACTAAAATGTCAGTATCTACCAATAGCTAGCACAAATTGGTATCTAAGATACCAAAATTATTTCCTATTTTAAGTATAAGTGCCTCTTACTACACACTGACTTTATAAATGGCAGCAGCAGTATCAAAGGTCTTTCATGCTCAGTCACTGCCAAACTGCAGTAGAAAAACTATCATTTATAAACCACAGCAATTCTCAAGCGAAGAAGGGGATGCAATACAGTACTTTATTACCACTTTCAAATAATCTGACCTGTTTTTAAAGAAAAAGATGGTGGAATCCTCTATTTTATTATTTTTTCATCATTCTGATGAAAAGTCTGGTTTCTTAAAGTGTTCAGGAATTATATTGTTTTATCCATGGTGAGGGAGAGAATTTGAGTGTACATAAAAGTATTTGTAAAACTGTCTTGTATTTAGAAGTTTCACTTACCAAAATGAAGAGACAACCAGAGGCAAGTTTTGTGTGTTCAGGAATAGTAGAAAACACGGACAAAATCAAGCAACCAAACACAAGGAGAAAACTGAAAAAGAAAGAATATTAATAATTGTTAATATTTTCCAGAACCCTGACCCAGTATCTACACTGATCCTTCTTCACCAGCATTAATAGAAGACTATCGATGAACAGTCCTCATTAACAGAAGGAAATTCAACCACTACTTAACTTAGTTCATTAAAGACATTAGAATAGCCTATTACTAAATCCACGTGCTTCTGAGAAGCACTGGTAGAATTAATGGAAATGAACAAAAGAAACAAGATTTTCTTGGAGAAATGACCCAATATACACAGACACTACTTTTGGTATTACAATCTTATACCTTTATGCAGTCCAGATACTCTGGCTTTAAAGAAAGATCACCAACAGGAAAATTCTTTTCCCCAGCCTGAAAAATCATTTCTCCCACAACTAACCACAAATATCTGCTGCGTAAGCTTATCGAAGAGCTAAGATACATGTTGCACCTAACTGCCCGTCTGAAACAACTTCTTTCTGAGCAACAGACTTCATGTACAAACCACCAGAAGCTGAGAGGTAGTTGAGTTATGGCACCACTGCCCTAAACGAACAGGCTTCATTCTGGGAACAAACTTAATGTCATACAATCCATTGAAGAAGTTAAAACAAAGGAGTGAATTAAGAAAGTCTTACACAAGTCCTGCAATTACAATTGGGAAAATACGACCACAATTTTGAGCTTGCAGGAGCTTGCATGTTTCATGGTACTGACGAATGCACACAAGCACAGCAAAGCACCGACACGCTGCTAAATCTCTTTTGCGAGCAAAATGCAAACACCTGGTACCACTGCAGAAATTCTTGTGTATCCCATGTCTGATCCTTACAGCATACAGCACATGTGGTGTTTGCAGACATGAGCCTGCAGAGGCTAGATGACCTGAAGAGACCTTCTTCAATCTAAATTCTTCTATGATTCTAACCACTGGATAAAAACATTAACATATTATTGCATCTGCCCCCACTTGCACTTCAGGAGCTAAAATTGCTCTTTCCCTTATAACATATGGACTTTCTACCGTGCTGTAATATAGCAGTGTTGTAATATATATAGTACATTACATAAAAATGTAGGTCCATTTCTTCTGAATTGCTAGTAGAAAATCTGATGTGCAATGCAATAAGACATTGGAGGAACATTTTGTAGCGTATCACTTAACTGCTAGGTGAAGTTCTACTCTGAAAATCAAATCTGGTAGAAGCTTGCAGATAAGCTCTACTAAGAACTGTAAAGGAAACGGTATCTAGGAGGGTAAAGGGCGTCTCTGGCACATATCATTGGCAAGCCTTTCTTCCAGACTAAAGATGAAGATCAGTATATACATGCTTAAAAGTTTTGTAAAAGACTCATTCAAGTGACAAAAATCCACCTTGCGAGCAACTTTGCTCCCCTTCCCCCATTTTTTTATAAAAGAAAATCTCCCAGAATATTACTGGTAGTTTCAGCTGCTACAGTCTTCAGATACAACCCCCTCATAATTACATCTTACTGACATAGGCATAAATGTGGTTTCTCCTTGTTAAGGCTTGCACGGAGGGCAAAATAAAATTAAGAAGTGACTAGGAATTTACAGTAAAAGGATGTAATTTCCTTTCGCTGAATTTATTTAGTCCTGAATCAGTTAAAATGGTATTTTCTTCCTTTGTGTTTAGGTATTAAAAATTGCTCATTTAGTTGTATTCCAGTAACACCAACAAAATTGGAGGCCCAGTTTTACTGGGTCTTGTCCAAACACACAATACAAGTTTTCACTTGGAAGAGATCTCTTATAGCACAATTATAGAAAACAGACACAGCAGGAAAAAAAGAAAGCTTGTTGTTTCCGTATCACAGCTGGAGACCACGGCACAGAAAAGGTAAGGGACTTGCCTAAGGCTACACGGAAAGTCTTTATATGCGGAATAAACCTGAACCTTTTAAGTCCCAGCACAGTCCTGCAGTGACAAAACCATCCTCCATTCACTCACCACTTGCTTTGCCATAGTTCCTCAGGACTGTGATTTAGAAGATCACTGTGGTAAAAGCATTAATTCACAATAGATGGGAAAAGTGAGTCAGGAGAGGGAATCAGCACAGCTAAGCAGCGTATTAATCAAAATAAAGGTAAATATTCAGGAAAGCCAGGTGCGGTTTAGATCAGCACCTGGTAGACATAGTTCTGCAGATTATCCATGAAAAGCAGAAACAATCCCCACAGCAATACATAAGAATAGCCTTGGAAAGATATTTTCCCAAACCTCTATAACCTTTTGTTCTCAGTTTTCCCAGAAGCTCTACAAGGAACAGAGCATTGTTATTAATTATTATTAAAGAACAAAAGAAAAACGTTTGCATTTATCCACCCGCACATTCAAATCTTGCCCCTCTATCCCTCATTCCTCCCTCTAACATTGAACACATTTTTAATGACATTCAGCATATTATGTCTAAAATTAGACTGTAAGTACTTTGGGGGAGGGGAGAAACCCAGTCCTTTTAGCCTTGCAAAACTAAAAGCATACTTTTAGGTGCTGTAAAACTCAACGCTAGCAACAACAGTAAAAGGATTAAGTGTTCTGGAATATTTTCTGCAGTTTATTTACCACTGACGTGCTTTCCTTCAAAGTAAATCAATAGTCAGGATTCACTTTCTATCTTATTTAATGTAATCTGTTTACTTGAGCCCTTCAATGAAAGCATCTCTCTTTTTTTCCCAGGAAGAATTGAAGGCACGGAGGATATAGCAACACCTTTCACCTGGCTGGATGTTAAACAAGGACCTGTCCAGCAAAAAAAAAAATCCCTAAGGTTCAAATGCCATGGTGGTCAAAGTGTATCAGAAGTTGGTCTTTTCTATCGTGAACTATTTCTCCAGTGACAGATGAAGTGTAGAGGTTTGTATGAAGCCCTGGACAGTCATCTTATAACCCTCAATAGAGGAAAAAGTATTTTTGAATGCCAGCGTTTGAACCATGTGCTATGATATATGCCATACAAGAGGATACTGCTGTAGGTAGAGAGTAGTACAAGGCAAAACACAAAGCAATTATATTTGGTCTCTAGTGGTTCAATCTGGATCATATATTTGTTCAGGCTGAAAAAAACAGATGGTCTTTCCTCATGCATTCAGTATCAGACAGTAAAACATATGCTTTAGGCAGTAACTTCCCATAAAATTATTCAAGCACTGCCATAGTCTTGTATTTTATCAAAAGCAGCAACTTCCATTTTGTTTCAGCAGTAATCAGTTTTGATGCAGATCCTTTCATCTTATTCCCCTGTTTCTGAAAGCATACACTAATTGGAGAAAAGCCAATTTACGAAAGATAATATAACTCAGAGGCTTTGATATTTATTCAATCCACCTGTCATAAACTTTTCTTACTGGTTAATTAGGAACTACCAATTCTCCATTTATTTAATTTTCAACAGAATTTTACTACAGTTTGTGATTTAAGGGTTGTTCATATGGAAGAGGACGTTCAGCTCAAAGCAATTGTTAAAATATTACTTAGGGATCGTAAGCATAAAAAATACACTCAGGGAAGATCTTTAAAAGCTATTTTGCTACATTAATTACTGCTAGAATTAAAATAATCAAAAGTTAAACATCTGCAAACAGTTTTATGACCTCTTCTGTAAATAATAAAATGTATCACTGTTAAAGCGACATAATTAAGCAATTAGACCACCAGAGTTATGTTCCAGTATTATTTGAGGTCTGATTTAATCCCCATAAATGCACGGACATTCCGGATTATGACCAAAAGTGTTAGCAAACTATTGGCCATGCCATTATCCCGGATTTTGTATGGAAGGTAGAAAATGTTTGAAAGCTTTTGCTAACCTTAACTACAACCAAAAAGTAGCTCTCGCTTTTCCCCACTGGTACAAAGTCAGAATTAATGCAGTTGCTTGCAAACTTACAGAAAGTTGTTTGCATTCATGAGGTCTGAGTCTACGAAGAAGCTATCAGAGCCCCTCCATAAGTAACTCCTTCCCACAGCCAGGAGCAGTACCCATGTTTTCCTAACAGGGATCAGGATCTTGCTGGGTTGAGTACCCAAGTATCACCTGCGAATGACTTTTTAATTCTTGAATGCATATAATCTGTGTGAGGCAGCAGATAAATAAACGTGCTGAAGATTATACTGGATGTATAGCACCAATAGATCCATGACAGGTTTAGATAAGTGAATACAATAGCCAGTAAAAACCCTATGAGGAAAGGAAGGAAAGAGGTGGTCATTCATGGCACTGTAATACTTTCATTAGGACTATCAGTTTTTGTGAACAGTTCTTACAAAAAGCACAGTGATAGGTATTTGATAAAAGGGTTGCCCTACATGAGATCCCTGCCTCAGCGAGATGCTGTCAGCACTCTCACCCCTCTTGGTGTGCGAGAAAGGGAGACTTCACGGCTTCAGTGTGCCACGGAGCTGATGAGGACAGAGAAAAACAGCATCTCCTGGACTAGGAGTTACTGTTACAGATAGACACGATTTGCAAGGCACTAAATTCCCATGGGGCAGAAAGTTTGCCTAGCGTTAGACTGAGAGCTGGTGTACCATGTTGCATCCCGTAGCAGACTCAAGACAGGAAAGCAGCAGAAATCTGACAGCTCCTGTCAGCCTCAGTGTCCTTCCTAGTGTCTCTGAGCAGACAGTTCTTGGAGGTAAGTGGAAATATCCTCTCCAATAGGATGCAGAGAAACAAACGCTGGAGCATTGTCTTAGCTTCAAAAGAACTGAAAGTGAAAACATCGGCTAGTGCAAGCGTGAGGAGGACATTTACGAGGGTCCTGTGGTATCTCCCTTAAAAAGTAATCTTTTCAACATTTCTGTAAAACAGATAATGCACTGCTGACATGGAGAAAAAGAATACAGTTTAACAGTTTTGATAGTGCACGCCATGTGGATTAAATTTTCCGTCATTTATAGTTTCAATGTGACTTGTTTATGCAAGAAAATGAGATATGACAAAGGTTATTACAATTTGTTAGAAATGTTTGACAAAAGCC